TAGTTCAGAGGCCTGAGTAATCTTCCTCCTTTCTAACTGGTCTTAGTCTCGCTTGCTTTGGCCCAGCCACACTGACTTCCTTTCTATTCCTTAAACAGATCAAATTCTTTCCCATTTAATACCCTTATTCTTGCTTTCCTTTGATCTGAAGCATTCTTCTTCCTCTTTCTTATCTCTTAAGTCTTAACTCGGTGTCACCTCCTTAGAAGGGCTTTCTGACACCTCTCTCTAATTTAGGATCCCCTCCCCAGTTGCGCTCTATCACAGCACGCTGGTTCTTTCCTTTACTGGACATACCACTCACTCCTTTTAGACTGCTTATTCCACTTTTTGCTATGTCTCCCCACACCTAGAGTGTAAGCTCTGTGAGTCCAGGGACCTTGTCTGTCTTGTTCAGATTCCCCAGCACCCAGAACAGCTCCTGGCACATGTAGATGTCATAAGTATTTATCACATGAAAAAATGAGGTGGCAGAGCCAGTACTTGAGCTCAGTCTTTATGACTTCCAAAAGAGCCCTTTTTCATACATTCTGCTCCCAGGGTGGCAATCTGGTGTTGGTGGCAAGGACACTGGCTGAGAGTCATATCCGGCTTCTGCAGCCACTCTGGGAGTGCCATTGGGCAAGTCTTATCCTCTCCCTGGGCCTCAGTTTACCCATTTGCTCTAAGATATTGATGCTCTGAGCCACATAGACCTTGCCAGTGTGAGGAACAGGTGCAGGTACTTCTCTGTCCAGCAGGTGATGCCATTGGCTTTTCCAATTTTTTTCTCTGCACTGGGCCAGGCTGACTGGACCTCCAGTTCTGAACGTCAGGACACCTTGTCAAACACACACACTCTGCCATCACCCACCACCACCACCACCACCACCAAATACCAGGGAGATTTTTCTTTTTTATCAAATAATTTTTATTTTTAAAATTCTTACTTTTTAAAGAAATGTTTTACTTTAGAATAGATTTAGACTTACAGAAAAATTGTGAAAATAGTTCAGAGTTCCCATCTACTCCCCACCCAGTTTCCCCTGTTAGTAACATCTTACACTTATATGGTACCTTTGTCACAATTAATGAGTCAATAGTGATACATTGTTATTAACTAAAGTCCATCATTTATTCAGACATCCTCATTAACTTATGTCCTTTTCCTGCTCCAGTCTACCACATTATATTGAGTCATTATGTTTCCTTAGGGTTCTCGGGGCTGTGACAGAGTCTCAGATTTCTTTGTTTTCAATGACCACTAGGGAGTTTTTTATTTTATTTTATTTTTTTAAAAGATGACCGGTAAGGGGATCTTAACCCTTGACTTGGTGTTGTCAGCACCACACTCTCCCAAGTGAGCAAACTGGCCATCCCTATATAGGGATCCGAACCCGTGGCCTTGGTGTTATCAGCACCACACTCTCCCAAGTGAGCCACAGGCTGGCCCTACCAGGGAGGTTTTTAGATGAGACTCTAAAGTGTGTCCTGAGCTCATGGTCACTTGAGATTCAAAGCTAAAAGTTATAACCTTTGCCCTCTGGGGAACTTAGGGACAAGTTTTTCATATAGAAACAGGTACTTTTTACTCAAATCCTTGGACTGATCTTCAGAAATGTTCCTTTTGATGAAAAACTTTTAGTGTGCCTGCCATGAGCCAGCCCTGTGCTCAGTGCTCAGGATGGAGCAGAGCTGAGACAGGGTCCTCTTGGAACTGACAGTCCAGTCCATTTGTCCAAGTTGGAGAATAGATGCACTAGGAAGGAATAGGGCAAGTCTGTACCCTCCTGTTCCAAACAAAGACCCATCCATGTGGAAAAGGGGTGACAGGTCTTCCTTCCTGTGGGACCCTCTGAAGGGCATGGCCCAAGAGCTGGTGGACTTGGTATGAAAGGAGGTTTCAGGGATTTCTCAGTGTTGTGCTCTCAGCTCCTGGACTCCAGACCCTGTGTCTCACTGGGGAAAGACTGAGACCTGGAGTTTTCTTCCTTTCCTTGAGAAAGAAACTTCCTCTAGACCTTTAAGGTCACCATTGCCTTCTAATTCAATTTAATAACTTGTCTGTTCTGTGCTTCTCAGTTTATAAAGGGACCGCCCCCTCCCCACCAAGTCCTCACAGTGTCTTTGAAAGATAAGTGCAATTTTTGTCAGTCTCATTCTCCCTGTGAAGACACTGAGACTCAGGTCCCACTCGGCAACCAACCAGAGGAGGTGAGATTTGAACCCAGGTCTTTCTGTCTCCTAAGTTTATTTTGCCTCCCACCATACCCTGTGGTTGTTAGGTCCTCAAGCTTGGAGGAAAGCAGCATTAAAAAAATTTTTTTTTCTCTTGATCCACTGAGTTACATTCTGCTCAGCTCAACTTTGCAGATC